CATATATATATAGATGACTGGTTTCAAAGAAACTTGAGGGAAATGAAGTGTGAGTCTTTATTTAGCTAAAACAGCTCACAGAGACTGGGAAAAAAATAGCTCCACTTCCCAGGTGTGTGTTGGAAGTCAGTTAGTTTGAGCCAGTAAAACAATAAAGAATACAGTGATACAAAGAAAAGCAGAATACCAATGGACTCTTTTACTAAGTTCAGTGATGAAAATACAAATAAAAATTAACAAAATACACATGCCCTTAATCCCCTTGCATGCACTAACTTGTAAGCTGATCCTGAATAACAGTGGGTAGGTAGGTCTTTTAAAAAAAATCCAAATCACAGCATATGCTCCAGTTTGAAAGCCGTAAAGCCCAAGTTTGCCAAAAACTGCAAAGATGATAGATAAAGCAGTAAAAATATTAACTGGATACTGAAGTCAACTCTAAACTTGGTTCCTTCAAGTGACTATAAATTTAAGCAGATAAACACAAGACTGTCCAGTGAAAAAACCCAAAAATCTTTGACTGCAAAAGTACAGCTGGAGGGCAGGGCACAATGTTATTTGAGGTACAAGACAATAAATCCCTTAGAGTTTGACTTCTAGGATACATGTAGGTCAAGAAATATATGACCGCCCCAGAGAGTATAAAGTTCAGGGTCACAGAGAGTTTCTTGCAAAACTTTCTGACTGGAGACAAGAATCTGCCAGAGTATTTCAAGTTGTTGCCAGTTTGCTGTAAACTATGGTGATAACACTTGGTATCTCATGCTAGGAATACTGTTTTTCATCCATGCTTGCCATAATGCTTTGAAATACTGATCCAGTCCGCAGGTGCTATCATTTCTATCTGGTACTGTGTGATTTGGTGATGTGAAATGTGTTGTAAAATGCATTGCTTTCTGTGCTCCAGAACTGGCCCTTTCATTAGAATAAAAGCTAATCTTAAAATGCCTCTTACAATCTTGTTTATTAACAAAAAAAAAAAAAAAGCAGCAAACCTTTATGATATGAACTGTCAACTCATGCAGAGATCACCTTCTACTCTAAGCAGGCAGCTGGTATCGATTGTACCCTGTGCCTCATTTCAGAAAATGAGTTGTATCTGAAGATGAAACAAAAACTGTTAGCCTAAAGATAAATATACATGTTGCTAGCTACTTCAGTACCCAATGCAGCACTGTCAAAATCTCTTCTTTACATCGCGTGAGTCACTACTCCTAACAAAAGACTTCACAATGTAGGACTTGTAATTTTTGCCACTTGGCTGTATGTGGACTTACACTGATGTAAAGAAGTAATGCTCCTTGTGAGTACATTTCTGATTTCTGCCAAAATAGCTCTGTTGTTTAGAACTGGATGGAGGTATGCCAGCAGAAACCCCAGCATACACATAGGCAGTATAAACACGCACATCAGACCTCCCCTGCAGCCCTGAAACCTGGGTCTGCTTTATCCAGGCTGCAATTGCACCAACTGCATTTGTTTCTCAGGATAAGTCACTGTTGATACTGCACATCAGCTGAATGGCTTATCTCAGTCGATGCACTAAAAGCATAGAGCTGGACAGTACAATCAAATTTCATATAACAAACAGCCAGTCGATTAATTAAAAGTCAACCCTGGGTGAACAAAGCAGATAGATAGCACTTTGTGCTCTTCTGTGTAGTTGCAAAAGTGATATCCAATCGTTAAGATTTCAGGAAGTAGCACCTCTGCACTTTTTAATGTATTGCAAATTTTTTAATGTATACCAAAAGCTGGTCTTGGGAATTTTCAGGCTTTCTCAATTTAAATGTACTTTGTGTATATGTGGTTAATACATAGATAATATTATTTGATGTTTCAATAAACATTTTCTGATTCTACATGAGCAGGCAGATATATACACTAAAAGGAAACTCTTTAGAGGAATAAAAGCGTGTAGCAAAAAGGAAGTATTCCTTCTTAGATATCTGTCTTAAACTTGTGAGTAAGCATTATGCTTTCTACATTTTACTGTCTATTCACTCAGTTGTTCCTCTTGTTATTTTAAAATAACTGAGCCTGCCTATTGAAGAATGCAACTGTTAGCCATGAGGCACAATGAGCCAGCAACCTCTGCCTCAGCTGCCTGGCTTCAGCTGCAGCTGAAATTGCTTGGGCTGGTGGGAGGAGAGAGGGGTGAGGTGCCAGCAGCAGAAACCCAGGGGCAGAAAGAGGCCATTGCAGGGATTCAGGAAATGTAAAGGAAAGAGAAAAGAAAAGAAGTAGCAGGGCATGAGAAGGCAGAAGCAGCAGCAAACAAAAGGTTTGAAATACACTCCACTAGACCATAGATCTCTTTTCCATGGAACATTAGGAAAGAGCCATGTGTTCATCTGCATATGTTACAGTAGGCAGATTCAAAAGGCCTAGGCTTTAGAGCAGAATGTTATTCAGTTCACAAGCATGTTGTTGCAATGAGCAAGCGTGACAAAAAGCTGAAATAGAGACTGCAACAGCATGGAAAAAGACATCAGAGAACTTGCAAAGCAATGCCCAAGGAGGCATTCCTAGACTTGACTTACCACTGACTTCACCCGACGTGGTGATCAGATCTCTTCTGCTTTTGTGACTGGAACACATTGATGGATGTCTAAGTTTTAGCCACATACTTGCTGTATGTGATCCAATGATATTTTTTAATCCAGTGCTATTTTTCCTGCTAGGGGCACATCAGCTTGCAGCATACTCATCTCTTCCTGTTGTGTACATATAGAAAACTTGGTGCTGCTCACCTTGCCCACTGCTGTGTTTCATGCTTTTATCACCAGCATATTGCTAGAGATATTGGGCATAACTCTATTCAGGGTTGAGGATGCTGGGGCCTTTGTGTCATAGAGATACTTGTCTCACATAAAAAGCTTTATTATTGTTTCTGAGGGTAACTTGCCACCAAATGATCTCTGCCACAGCATGTAATCAGCAGCAGAAAAACATTTTTTCTTGGTGTTTTTATGTATAAGTGATCAAATTCTGCCTAAGTTTGGCTGCCCTTTGAGAGCTAATGCAAATACAATTCTCCAAGTACTACATGCCCAAATAAATCAGGGAAGGAAAGCTGCAATATTATGCCCTTGAATCACTCTGCCATGACTAGCAGAATCTGATGACGTTTTCATGTAGGCAAGTTCTGACTTCAGAAACAGCATTAATATTTTAAAATGTCTTTAAGAAGTCTTCCACTCTATATTAATTTCCCTTCATTATAAGGGGCTAGAGCTGCTCCCTCCTGAACTCAGGCACCATAACAGATTGTGCAAATGGGCCAAACGCACTCCAGTGTGCTCAGGAGAGCCCCTTTGAACCACTGCTGATGACAGCTCCAGATAAGCCTGGCTGGCTTTGCAAGGAAACCTATTAAGGATGCTCATATGGTCTGTGAGCATGGCTCACTTGGGAGGCAGCAACTCCCTAACTCATTTCAGTTTGCTCCACAAGAGCATATTTCTTTCGAGCCTGGAGGCTGTGTATTCATGAAGGGCAGAACAAGTGTGGACCTTCAGGCACTCTGCAGTGACGTCTCCCCTCAGGTTCCCCGTGTAGCTCTGCTCTTTCCCACGTTGTGCCTTTTCCTGAGGATGAAATCTGACAAATCAGAAAATCCTGATTCCCTGTAATTGTTGCAAGGTTTACTGCTTTCCTTGAAGGTTGTGGCATAATTTTTATAGCCTTCTTATTATCTATTGTGTTTGGTTGTCATCCGTTACAGAATGTGACTGCTGTAGCATCTCCTTTGCCATGTTTGCACCTCCTGGCTTACGCTCGCACTTTAATATTCCAAGCAGTTTATTTTTTAAACTTTTGAGGGTACCCTCTCCACCACAAATGTCTTCACCCTATCCTTCTTTTGTAACCTGCATATCCAGCAAAGCCTTTCAAAGTATGAAATGAGAATTGTGCATGAGCATTGTCTGCCTTGGCTGTCTGTATTAACATACTTGACCTGAGTACCTGAAATGCTTTTCAGCTTCATCTGTATTAAGCTACAGGGTGCTGCAGCAAAAGATTAATGGTTTCAGCTGGTGTGCTGACAGGCAGAGAGGGGTCATTACTGCCCTCTTGTTCCAGACAGAATTCCTCTCCTTTAAGAGAGTGCACTCCTCAGGCCTCGTGACAGGTTGACATAGAATTTATTTTCTTGGCAGAAATAATAGTCCGGATGGAAACTTCTATGTATTGTACAGCAGGTCTTTTGTTTCTTTCATTTTTCTTCAGTTAAAAAGGTTAAACATGTTTTCTTGGGAACCTTAAACTATTCTCATTCATCCTAGAAATAGAAACTGTTGTAATACTAGGAGGTAACTTTACATTTCCTTTCAGTGCTGAACATATAACCCATGATGGAAGGCCTGTTTTGCCATCTCTCAGAATAAGCATGTTGTGTATTGCATGCTAACTAACTCTGTAGGGAGATCCTTAGCTGCTTTCTTAGCTTAACTTAGGCTAATCTTAAGGTATTTCCTTAGTTCTCCTTTACCTTGAATAATTTCTTACATAGTTTCAGGACATTTTCCTTATTTATACTAATTGTCTATATATATATTACTTATCTTCTCTCTCTTTTACTTTTCTTTCTGTTGCTGTGCTTCTAGTCACCAGCACAGCCGCTGTTCTATCTCCTTTTCAGGACAACATTGCTGTTCTGGTATTGTCTTTGTAGCCAAAACTGTCAGGTTGAAAGTATTTGGTGAGGGTTTATGCCAAAGATGAACTTTTAAAATGGACTGGCAAACTCACTTCTATGCATATCTAAAATAAATATTTCAGTCTTTACTGGAGGGGGAAAAAAAAAAGGCAAATAATCACTAAAGTTATCCAGGGTCTATTATACAAAGTAAGACCCAAATAAGGGATTTTAAGAAATATTTCCAAAAGACAGAAATGGTTAATGACACAATTTTAATTTCCTTCCTCTTAAAGAATAGGTTTTATTCTAATTAAAAGTTACTTCTTTTGACATCATCTGGTCATTTCTCCTGTAGCTGTTTCCAGTCCTTCTGAAGAGCTAAATACACTTGATCCAGTAGAAGAGGAACTTAGAATGCAAATTGAAGCAGAAAAAAAAAGGTATTACTTTTGCCTCAAACTGCTGCCATCCTTCAGAAGATAAATTATACTGATAGTATATTCCAATTACAATTCTGCACACACAGCTACCCTCAGGGTTTTCTCTGACATTTTGCAAAATGTCAGCTTTGTGGTTCACTGATAGTTTTAAAAATTCTGTGTATTCTGTTGGTTTGTCTGTAAGACGCCACAGCACATGAGTGGGGAAAATTTATGCTTGAGCTAATGGTTAAAAATAAATAAAAATAACTTAATATCCTCCCTGAGGATTAGGGTTAGAAACTTATTGTTTGAATCCAAATGTACTGTGAACCTTTTTGGTTGATTCAGAAATGTCCTTCCTCCCTTGACCCAAGGAAAACCTTCAGGCTATACAGGATTGACTAAGTGTAAATGATATGAAGAATACACATTGGTTAACAAATCCTTCTGTTTGGTGTAATGTCGCTGTAGCCAGGAGGATAAAAGAAAAGAGATGCAAGGGTATCAGTTCTAAATAATTTTCTAGCATTTATGGTATGTGCAAACCATGAGGAAATATCTGGCTCTTTCATGCTACTGGTAAACCTCCACCTATATGTTAGCAAAGAGGCTTCATTAATGAAAATTCCATCTGAAAAGAGAATCAGTGCTCAGCTCCTGTCTGAATCCAAACTCTGATGACCAGTTGTTTATTAATAGTAACATGCTGAGAAATCAAAAGTAGTAACTGACATATTTGATTGAACCTATATTTTAATTGTTAATCAATATTGATCCCACTTAAATTTCACTTATTTCTTTAGTGAAAGTAAAGCTTTGGGAGATAAGTTTCTTGTACTTACGTCCAGTGAAGCTCTTACAAAGTATGAGATGTTCTTGTTACCACCATTCTGCCTGTGTCCCCTGCATCTCTGATTGATTGCTATATGTTCTTTTGTAATTTAAATCTGTAACTGTTCTAGGTAGGATAAAGCTTTGTTCAGATATGTATTAGAAGATCTGTAATACACTTTCTTCTTCCCATATTAGTTATAAAACAATGTTCAATCGCTTGAAAGGGCTGAAGGTAGAGATTGAGCACCTGCAGCTTCTTATGGAAAAAGTGAAGGTGAAGCTGCAAAAAGACTTTGAAACCTGGTGGTCTGAAGAGGCAACAAATGGACAAGTATGAAATCACTTTATATTTCTTCCATACTTATGTCAATGTAACATCCTCAATCATTTCTTAAAGAAGTAGTCAGTTGGCTAGATAGAAAGGGGTATGAAGGATGGGATTTGGGGCCTGATTCACCTGTGCTTATGCCAGTGTAAATCAGACAAAGCTAATGTGAATTATGTTTGTATGAAGCTAACAGAAACGAAGCAAAACCCTTGCTTTCTGCTCTACATTCTGTTTTGACATGTCCCCACACAACTTGATAGAAAGACAAGAGAGGTTCCAAAATGCTGAAGACTCTGAAGAAACATAAAACAAACCAAGGAGAGTAGAAAAAATCATAATCGTTTTTACTGCTAGCAAAACTGATTTCATCAGGTTTATGACGTGTATTAGAAGATGGCAGTCATAGCTGTAACATGGACAAATCACAGCAAACATATTTGGCTTTTAGCTTCCTTTGTTTACAAAGGCTTCAGTAACCTTTCAGCTTTCCAAAGCTCCCAGAGGGTCAGCAGCTCTCAGCAGACAGCGTCTGCCCCCTCACTCTAGCTGTGGCCTGCCACTGCCATCATTGCCTGTTAGAGAACCTGGCCCAAACAGAGTCCTCTCATTCAAGGACTTGTGTAAAGAGCTGTCATTGTAAACGGTGTATTAGAAGTTTGTGACATTGTCTGAAAGCTACACAGTTTCACAAGTTCAGGAGACAGCACAAGAGGGTCCAGCAGAGGATCAACTGAAACAACATAGCTGTCTTATGCTCTCCTTTTGACAGTTTTTTTAAAAAAACTGTCTTCCAACTAGTGAAATGATATTTCACAGCAAAGCACTGCCATGAAATGCACATCATCCTAATGGAAAAGTGCTGACTGCAGACCATCCCACATCATGTACTAGATGGAGAAGATGATTTACTCCTTGGGGAAAAGTTTTTATAAGCAAAGAAGTGTTTAGCCAGTATTTTGTTTAATTCTTATGAGTAGAAATTTAACCTGTATTTTTAGAAAAGCCTAAAATTAATACAGAACTTAACATGAGGTATTTAGTTGTTTATAAAGTGCCACCTAACTGGCTTAACTTCAAGTTATCATTGCAAAATAATTTTCAGGTTAAAATCCCTAAACATGTTAGTGGGAAAGAGGATAATGTTTTAGTCACCCTCCTGTCTAAATATTTAGGCACTTCAAAGCACTGCAGATAATATTCTTCAATCCACTGGAGCACATTTTTCTCCATCCCTTAACAGGAGAGGTCCAGGATTCATAATTCATAAGTAGATTAGAAAACTGGAAAAAAAATAATGGGGATTGATTTCTTGGATCTTGACCTATCTATACATCTGAGCTCCCTAAGAAACTCAAATCAGAGAACAGATGCTGTTACATATTAAAAACTTGTAACTTGTGCTTAAAAATACTTCATCCAATCCTAAACACTTTTCTCTTTGACCAGAAGTGTTTGTCCAAGTGAAGAAAATACTGTGCGATTCAAACTCTGTGTTTTCTGAATAAGTCATTGCCTACCTTGTTATTGTTGAGACCTGTAGGCCAATATTAAGCACTCTAAAAAAATTCCATCCTACATAATTTTGGTTTTCAATCTAAACCCAGCAGGAAGAGCCAGAGATGGTTAGCTCACCAAATACTGCGACTGTTTATCCCCAGTTTATCAAATCCTCACAGCATCTATCAACTAACAGGTAAATTGGTCATTTTTCTCTTCCTTTTACTTACTTGTAAGAAAATGCAGTTTTAGTAGATGTGCAGTTCACCAGAATTTTTTTTTTTTTAAATATCACATTCAAACGCCGCATTTCCGGTTACAAGAGAAATGACTGTGTAGAAAATCAATGTTTATCATTCAGTTATTTTGCAATCATATTGAAGGTAGCATATTGTAACTCAGTTCTTTTGACTTGGTCTTGGGACCCTGGAATCCTGTAACTAGGTACCCCATGACAGGTAGCTAAGAAAAGTAAGCCTGCTATCAGTCAGTGTTGATATTTGAGGAGACTGTATATCTCCTTTGGAATGTATTCAGGGGGCTGCAAACCAAAAAAAAAAAATATTCCAAAATAATATTGCATTTGATATGATAAAACACTGGTGCATCCTCTACAGGAGAAAAATGTAATCACCTTTCTTACTTCATCATCAGTCACTTCTGATTTTAAAGCCTGTAAATTAAATTTGCAGTAGTAGATCTTTCATAGCCTTCAAGAAAAGTAGAGTGCAGGAAAACCTACCAGAATATGCAGGTTTCTGTAGTCATTGACAATAAATGGAGTTGTTCTGTCTCTCTCCCCACCTCTCTCCCTTTCTTTTTCTCCCTCTCTCTCCCCCTCCTTCTCATTTTACAGTTAATCTTTCTCTGATGAGTTACTTTACCTACAATTTACTCTGCATAAATGATGTTTCCTGCTTTGCAGCAAACATAATATATCCTACATAACATTAAATAATGAATACTGGATTTTCTTAAAACTGTAAGATATATTCTGATTTTTGTTGTAAACGTTGGTGTATCTATGGTAAGTGCTCTGTAATCAGTACAAAGATAGAATGAAACTCATAATGCTCTGAAGTTTTGTACGCCGACATCTTCAGATGTCTCAAACTGATGAATACTGACTGTGGTCTTCTCCACTTAAATTCTTATTCTGTGTTCTCCCAAGACTTAGGCGCTATTTGCTTTGCAAACGTCTGACAGGTTTTAGGCCTAATCTGAGCTGCTTATTTCTGGGTTTATGCTGAAGGTTACTTGTCACAAAGAAATGCTGATGGAACAGAATTTAGAACATTTTTGGTCTAGCTTGGCACAGTCAGCCAAATGAGCCCAAGCAACCTATGACTGTCTCTCTCCTTAACTCAGTACTGAATTGAGCTAAGGACCTCTTGCACAACCTCTTTGCCCCATTGTTCTTGGGAGCAATGATTTCCAGTTGGTGTGCTGATGCATTGCTCAGTAGAGTGATATCTTTTGCAGTCTAAGCTAGAATTAAAACAAACATATTATAATGCTTTCAGCGCAATGGGGGACTGGCCTCCAGGAGTGGTGATTTCTCCTTCCTCCACCCAAGCTCAGAAGCAAAATTGCGTAACTCATTTCTTTATAATTTTCTTTTAAACTTTTCTTTCAAATGCCTTTATCATTTATGTTTATTATTGGATGACAGGTCTCAGAAAAGAGTGTAGCATTTTGAATAGAATGGGGGAATGTGCCTGGTTGCTTTCAGCTGCTGAGCTTACTTCAGAGCCCTCCACTGCCCCACATTGTCCTTTGAAAAAAATGACAAGCTCTTTGTAATAAGCAATTTCTCTGTGTCTAAGTAATGGACATGTTGACCGAGATTGACTGGATGATCCTTGCACACATATCACAGACCCAGAACATCCATCTTCTTGAGATTAAACTGTAGAGGGATTCAGGATGAATATAGTTTTGTTTTCCCATCTCTGCCAATACTCTTGCAATGATCTTTTGAAGTTAACTTCACTTTCTGTCTTACAGTTCCAGAAAGTAGATCTTATTTTCTGTTGGGCTGTTTAAACATATTTTACACAGGTACATTTCCAGCATGATGTGTATGGAACACTATTTCTGCTTTTTGTGAGGCAGAGCTGCAGGCTTAACATCCCATGGTGCATGAAAATTTACTTTTCCTCCTACTTGAGGCAATAACATTTTAGAGTAGAAGTTTCCAATTTCGTAGGATTTAAGAGTATGAAACAGTAGAATATTTATTTCCCAAGGATCTCCTTGACCTCAGTTGACACAGGAACTTTGCTTACCAGTTCCCATGATTGTGTAGGATGGGTCCTGGCTGCAATTGCTCCTCTTGGTTACGTAGTCATGAGACACAAATGGTTCCTTGTTTCTAACTAACTTGCCTGGAAATCAACAAACTCTTTCTCTGAAATGATATTGCTGTCTTCACCCAGCAGAATAACTAGTCACAAAAGCAGAAACAGACATAAATTATATTATATATAGTGTGGTGTAAATAAAACCTATTTTCAAGATGGAATTCAGTTCACAGATGTGTTCAATAGATATAAGATCTAAAACTTAGTGGGCTGCATGTGAGAAATCTAAGACTGCTGTTGACAGAGTAAATATTCAGTAAAACCATTCAAACTCCTGAGTGTAAATGGATATAAATACAATCTTCAGGATTAGAAGTAATGAATTGTCTATCTCAGCATATAAAGGATACAGATATATTCCATAATCTTTCTTGAGATTTATGTATGTGTTTGAAATCTTTTGAACACCTTCTAGTGCATGATTCATGCACATTGTCATGTTACCCACACCTTAGTCATGTTACCAGAGAAAATTAAGCCTTTGGAAGGGAATGTGATAGCCTCAAATTGTATTTTATATTAAATCAATATATAACTAAAACAGAGAAGGGAAACTGGTAATCCTTTTGAGGCTTAAGAAGGATAAACACGTATAAAAGGCACTTGGTTCCTGGCCAAGCATGTCCCTTTCAATTGAAAAAGATAGCTGAATTGTTAAGTGTTGAAATGACTCTGTGTTAATAACGGGATTGAACAGTGAGCATTTCTGCCTTAGTCCATAAGGTTTGAAAGCCACTGGCTTGATCCTACTCCCACTAGAGTAAGAAGTACATTGATTTCACTGACCAGAGTGCTGAACTGGGGGAAAGGGTGAATGAGGGTTATCAGCGGGTTTGGCATGAGAAAAAAACATTTCTGCATCAGCAAGGTAATTTCTTGAGCAGGTTAATCACATCACCGAATCTGATAAAATAGCTGAAACCAGTAGTCTGTGTACTGTAGAGGCTTACAGACTCATGTTCATTAACATGTTCAGTCGATTCAGGTTTCTAGACCATATTTATGTTTGCATATGTCTTTCAAATGAAGGATGAAGGAATATTAAATCTCATCTGATCTGAACATCTTACTTAAAATGAAGAACAACTGTGCAAAATAGAGAAAGAATGACCCATCTCTATTACAGGCAGAAAAGGGTCCTATCAGCAATCCCAGAGTCACAGTACAAGGAGAAAGGAAGTAGAAGTTAAAATAAATACCAAGAAGTTATTTTATTCAACAGAAATACCTAGTAAAATCACTGTGGTGCTAACTGCAACTCGTACTGTATGTACTTTCATGTCTCTTAGGGTTCCTGTTAAGCCTGCAAAAAGTCTTAAAATGCATGTTGGGCTCAGCATTCTGTGTCTGCTCCACTTCAGAATTCAAGCAGTGTTTTCTTCATCCTCATACAGTCTTCTCCCGCATTGGCTTTCATTTAAGAAATTTATCTGGTCCTTTTCTGTTCAAGTTACTTTTCTCACTGAACATCTCCTTTCACTAGGGTTGAACTGTTCTTGTATTCTCCTTGAATCAAGCAAGTGTTCGATAGTTACTCAAATCTCCTAAACAATTTTTTTGTTGTTGTTGTTCTCTCAAAAGGAATGTATTCCTTTTTACTTGTCAGATCTTTCTTAACCTCACTTATTCCCTATTACTAAATTTCATTTGTCCTATTCCAGCAAGCCCTGCAGTATGTTCAATCTCAGACTCCTTGGCTCTCCAGTTTATTTGAAGTATTATTTACCCTCTGTATCAGTGCTATGTGACACAAAGGAAATGTTTACATATTTTGCAGCATTTTCTGTTGTAATCATTTTTCATTTCTGCCAATTTTCTGCAGTGTTACTCGATGACAAATATAATCTGGGAATAGCATCACTGATTAATGATATTTCAAAGGTTTTCACACTCTGTTAGTTTTAACGTGAACAATTTTTCTATGAATTTGAAAGTTAGGCCAAATTTGATTTTGTAACCAAATACTAAAATGCTCAGGCTTTAAGCAGCTTAAATCTTGCCTGCCTTTACAGAGAACATCTGTTCCACTTACATCCAAGGCTCAGATGACGGGAGAACTGCAGCTGAGGGTTTTTTGTAACATTGCAGATGTTGCTCACCTTCAAATTTTACACTTTCCATTTTAATCTACCTGATTTTTCACATCTTTGCAGCTGGAAAATCAAGCATTTGTACCATGACACCCATCATCTCTCCAACTCCCCTACCCTAGGTTCTTGAAAGAGCTGGTCAGTCCATGGGACTGCTGTCTCTGGCCCTTGGGTTCCTGCAGCAAGAGAGACACTGCTACAACACTGTGCACCTCTAGCTGCTGCCCTATACCTGATTGAGACACAATTAGCAAGTTACCCACTGGGTGAAACTTCAGGTACTAGGTTAAAAATAGAACTGAGACATACGTAGCTGACAGGTTAATCTCCAGAAAAAGCAGGAATTTTACTGAAGCTGTCAGGAAAAGGTGGTTTGAGACTTCTTAAATTCAACTGAAGGAAAAATCAGATTCAGAATGAAAACTGGAATTATACATTGTCAAAAGAACCCAAATAATGTTAGAGCTTAGGAGCCAGAGACAGGACTTCTACACCTTGTCCAAAAGTGTGATCCAAGCGTGCCAGAACTGTTGGTTGAAAGGCATCTCTGGAGATCTCTAGACCAACTTCTTGCTTGAAGAAGGACTATCATCACATTGAATTGGATCAGCTGTGGTTTTGTCAAGCATCCTGAGATGTGCAGTCCTTCAGGTTTAACACACAGAGAGGGGAATCTTTACCTGCACACCATGCTGTCATAATGACTTTCCATTAAATTTAGAGCCATAATAGCAAAATTTCTTATCTTTTCTCATCACTGGAACAGCATCTAACACTCAGATGGAGGAGAGTCCTGGCTTCTGAGAACAGGCCAGGAGCAAGTTGCATCTGAGCATACAAACCTCTGCACAGCAGAATTACACTCTTCTGTCCTGTTATGATTCAACGTGTTTTGCATTGCCATAGAAACATTATCAGAGCTTCAGTATAAAGGATGCAAATTATCCCCAAAGAGGCCATCCCTCTAGCCTAGGGATTAGAGAAATCTCTGCGATATGTAAAACATGGATTTGAGTTCTGCCAAGCTGAGGGACGCGTTGGATAGATCGGTACTCTGGTTGTTAACCTCCTATCTGGGAGCAGCACTTGGAGTCACTATAAAAAATAGTCAGAAGCTTCCTTTTAAATTTCCTTAACTTGCAGGAGAAGAGTTTGCATTCCACAGAAGAAGAATCTGTGGCTGTAACACCACAAGCAGAGGGTAGGAGTTTAAGGTTCATCTCTGAGCACAGTAGTGTTAATATCTTGATTCTGGGCATCATCTCACTCCGTCTAAGGTGGTTTTTTACTATCATCTTCCTCAGGTGCCCAGATCTCCCAGAGCACTCTAAGGCGAGTTTCAGCATATTGTCCTAGGTCCAGGAATCCACTTGAAAGTGAGATCCCTGGAGGTCAAACCCTGCTAGACCTGTGGCGTCTAGTTTTTTTAATGGATCTGGATCTAAGTCCCCTTGAAAATGAGGATTTAATGATTTTTGAGAATAATTTTCATTTAAATTCAATGCAAAAAATAGTTCAAACGTATAAACTATTGCATTTTAAAAATAAATTACTTGAGCTGACTCACAGTATTTATATAATTATACATTCTGTTCATGGCAAATAAAAAGCAAAGAAGCTTATTTCAGTGAAAGGAAAGCAATGAAAAAGGATCACATTTAGTCATATCACCTTACATTTGTTGCAGGCTAAGAAAACAGTCATGGATGGTTGCTATGATTCAGTTGATGTGTAGTGATTTATTAAACCATGGTCATATGACTTGGAAGCCTAGGTATCTCAGGACACAGACACAGGGTCCTTTTAGAAAATTGAATTTAAGCCCCTGAATCACGTAGATTTTAACAACTGCCAAATCAATGGAAAAAATGTTCAGGAAATCCTAAAGCAGAACTATGATATGAAGTTCCCAGATATTGTTAAACCACATAGTAGGCAATAACATCCCACATCCTTTCTAGCTATTCTGATATGTAGGCATAATAAAGTATGGAATATTATTCGTATTAAATATTATATTGATTTGGTCTAATTAGGCTGAGTCTTGAGGTTATTTTGACACAATTTAGGCAGGTGTGAATGGTATGGGACTTGAAGAGTTAAAGAGAAACATTCAGTAAACCTGGAGTTGTTCATTTGGAAATGACTTATACTCTTGGGCACAATATCTTCTGCAAAACTGAACCTGGCACAGTGTAATACAGTAAAATTTTAGTAATAAATTTCTTTCCTTTCTCAAGTTCTCTGCCAGAAATATCAATGTATCAGCCAACAATGAACAAACTTCTGCAGTTAGCAAGGCAAGAACTTGCCAATCCTGCCATCTACTGGAAAAAGGCTAAACCGGAGTAATTCGGTGTTTCCATTCTATGATTGGCACCGATCTGGCAGCACACACACACCCCGGGGAAAGAAAAGAGTCCCTAGACATCCCGTGACAGAAATCTACCTTCCCAGTGGAGAGGGTCCCTGACACGGTATCTGCAGGGGCAGGAATGTGCAACAGCTGTTTGCAATATATTTGGCTATCACCAACAAGCCCCATCCCAGAGTCCTCGCTGAGTTTTTATCCAATCTCCCACTGATTTTGGTAATAATTTTGCCTGACTAAAGAAAGAATGGAAAATGAGCTAAGGCCTCACTTGGCTGATAGTCAGTTTGGGAACTAAATATACCATTACAAACTGTACATTAGATACATCAGAGTGTTTTACAAACCCTGCTTAGAAAACAAATACTAATAGTATAATCTTTATGAACTCATTTCTCATTCTTTCATAGCCACATTCTCTACATAATCCTAATCATCACATGGATTCAACTGAAAAAACTCTTCCAGTAAGCAACAAGTGCTTTATATAGATCAAAACGTTTTGAAAAATAACTTCTTCGTAGTTATTTAGCACATATAGCCCTCCGCAAGGGCTATATTCTTTCTTTCATGCCTGCTCCCATTTCAGTTTTTCAGAGAGCACAACAGTCAGTCCTAGTGAAGATCCAGCTGGGAAAAACAGTTCAGTCACTTCTAGTAACCCAACTTCGAAAAAAAGGTAAGAAGCATTCCTGGGATATTCAGAGGAAAAAGCAAACAAGTAAGTAATAAAATGCCTACATAACTCTCTATCAGGCTCTTTAACAACTGTCTCCTTGAAAAATGACAATATTACTGAAATTCCTCCAACTTCCAAAACAACACCAAAGCTGTCCCATAGCTTTACACTATCTAAGTAGCTGCATGATCAGCATTAAAGAGGTGGTTTCTTGTTTGTCCTGATGCTTTTTTCTCCATGGACTTACGAATCTTGATAACTGTGTCTTGTCAGCAAGAGAAAGGGACTCTGAAAGAGTAAATAGAGGCATTTCAAAGGAAGAGAGATCAGAGTATGTAAGTATTGCAGAATGCAGGAACTACATAAAGATCTTTTCATCCTTGTGATTTTGTCATTGAAATATTTTGAGTCTCCCTCTACAAATTATTCTACCAAAATAAAATTACACCAACAATCCAGATGTGTCAGGTGTGGCAAATGCTACATGTCATGTTTTCTCAAAAGAGGTACTGCTTTGTGAAAATTAGCTTAGCAAGTTAACAGAAACTACTTTTTTCTTTTCTATTTTTTTGAACCTCTATTTTTTTTAATGTGCTCATTTCCATGTTCTTTTCTTCCACCGAAACATCATCCCACATTAGTATGCTTCCAGAAGTTATATTCTTCTTGTGCTCCACAGTTCTAGCTATTAAGGCCCTTAGGAAAATACGGTTACTATTTTTCATATACATTAGTAAGAACAAATCACAAGGGTCTCTTTTTTTTTCCATTTTCAAATTAATACGTTTCTAGAACAGTAAAAAATCATGGAAAACTTCATCCCTCAAAACCTGCTGTTTTAAATTGCATTTGTATTTAAGACAAACAGAAGAAAGTTTGAAGATAAAATAGAACTTAGACAGTACTTTCTCAAATAGATTGTGGTGTTGGTTTTTTTGTTTTTTATATTGTTGCTAATCAAATGAAAATCATTAAGAGAATAGTCCTTTACTGGTTTCCTGAGATCATCTTGTAAATTACATACAAGGATCACCTTGTAAATTGCATAAAATTTTGTTAATTTCATAGTAATTTCTGTAATTTTTTCCATTTTGATTCACTAATTTAGCAACTGAGGATGTAACTAGTAGCACAGAAACAAGGATATCAGACTCCCATTTTGCCAGTCAAAATTACACTTCACAGCAATAGTCAGTAAAGAACAGTGGAAATAACGATAGTTACAAAGTTATGTAAAAAAAAAAAAGTTTCTCCCTTTAGTTCCCCTTGTCCTTCCATACTGTAATCTTTATCACTATATTACTCATTTCATCATTAGTGCTTAGTCTTTAAATGAGGCTAAAGATACAGGGCCAAAATCGTAGCCGATTAGAATAGCTTCACAGTAGTACATCATCTTACACCACTGGAGGGTCTGTCATAAAGCAGAGGTAAGTCAATGATTTAACAGTATAGATGCAAGATCTCAGCTGGGACTGGAGACTCAGCAGCACACAGCAGTCCGATTTCCCTGTCAGTAAATGTCATGTGATTGTTTACATCTAGGTATGCACAAACACTTAATTCCCTTACAGCAGGCAAAAATACTATTGTTCTGTTCAAATACATAGCACCATTTTTTCCTGAAGCAGACAAACACATGGTATAGTCACATCCATCATTGCTTTGGTAAACTCACTACATTAGGCTTTTCTGCTTGCCACTAAGTCTTTGACTCAGCGGTAAAACATTTTTAACCCTTTGTGAGAGGTTTTATAACTGGTGTAGTCTACCAAAGTAAAAAGATACTGGCTAATCTTAAGAATCTACATCAGGGCATTAAGTCCTGAGCTTGATTCTCCTCTGAACTGTGCCATCTCTAACAGTATATCTGGAGAACAAAGTCCTCCAAGCTGGAAAAAGAGAGGAAAATAGAAATAGAAAGAAAATGAAAAGGAAAATGAAATAGAAAAACAACCTTCTTCTTCAGCTGGGCCACAAATATACTTTCTTGTTTCAGGACCTTACCAAGTTCAAGTACATCTATTCCTCTGACTGGAGACAGCCAGGCTGATGCTGACATCCTAGCTTTCATTAAAGCAAGACAGAACATCCTGCAAAAGAAAGGTAAATCCTGCCAAAAACCAGGAAGCCAAACCAAAATCTGCAGTACAGCATTTTAAAGCCAAAATAGCTTTAGTCCAGTGACGCAAGTGAGAACTGATTCTGGCTTAAGTTATATTACATTATGTTCTCAGCCGTTCTAAACACTTGAGGTTCTTCACGTGTATTTATTTTCGTAGCTCGATGGAGCAGCGTAGAACTATGAAGGCTGTCTGTTTGTGTCAGCCACCATCCGTGAACTTTCTGGTGCAATGTGCAGCCTGCACAGTGTATTTCTTTACACTTAAGTAAATGCATTTGAATGTGGTTTCTTTTCTGTATACATTTTCTTTAAACTATCTGGCCTGGTTTTCAACTGGTACAAATTTAGCTATGACAAATGACACCAAACAAAGATTAGGGAAATGATTGCACCCTACCTCACAGCCAGGCTGGCCCACTATGGCTGTCAGAGTATGCCATTAGCAGGTATTTCACTGTATCAAGGTCTACTGAAACTTTCTATGGGTATTTGTCACCAAATCAGGTACTGAAAGCAATCATAGGTAGGCAATAAAGTTCACTTTACAATGTAGATAAGTAAAATTGGCAGGAAGCAGAAAGCACTAAATACAAAACAGTGGCACTGCAAGGTAGCCTACAAGTAATTCATCATGATAAGGAAAAATGACCCATGATTTTTTTTTTTCCCTTCTTTTTTTTTCCTTTTTTTTCCTGGAATAATAGTTTTTAGTGGCAGGAACCAATTAGACAGAAGATGAAAACAGTAGTGGTTAGTGAAGCAGTAACTTTCCATCAGCACTTGAGTGCTGATGACAGCATTATTCAGCAAGCTATCAGCACCTGGCAGATGGTGTTAGCACTGTCACCAAGTAGGGTTTCCATATCACACTGCTTATCAGAAAACTGTCAGGTAAACACACAGTGGCTGAGAAAACAGCCTCCCTACACTCATCCAAAGCAAACACTTAACACACTTAGGCTTTGGGATCCCTTTTGTCTTTATTTAGAAAAGGTGCTGTCAGGTTTCTTCTGCAAATGAAATTAAGTTGAATTTATAGGCAGCTCACCAGAAGAAGGTTAGAGATAAGTGTCTTACGACACCTTTAGAAGGTCCAAATCTGACTCATTTAGTGAAGTACAGTAATCTAACAATAAGACAACATCTTGTCCTGTGATCATCTCCTAAATCATGCCATATCAGGAATGTCACTTTTAAATGCCCTTTCCATCCTGATTGGTTTTCAGCCACCAGCTGTTACCTAGTGTCATCCATCAGCTTCAGAAGGGCCTATGCATTATCAACACTGACAACTCTTAGGCCCCAGGTTATGAAAGGTATTGTTGCAGAACAGAAGACAGTCAACACTTCTAAAATTGCTCTGAACTTCAGTTAGACAAGGTGGGCTAGATGCTGCCCTAGGCAGCTGAAAATGAATGGAGCAGCATTTGCACAGTATTAACTCTGGTCATCCAGTGCGGGGCTGGATGGCCCAACCCATCACTAAGCATTGGCAGGGGAACAAAAAGCAGAGAGGCTTCATAAGCATGACCTGAGTATTACAAACACCTGGAGACCTGATGTGTCTCAGGTAAGAGACAACTCAATAGCCAGTTCTGGGAAGGATTTGGAGTAAACCTGGCAGATGAAAGAAAGCTTTTCTGCCTTGACTGCTTGTGAGGAAAGGGAAGACCTCCCAGTGAGTCACTGATAGCAGAAGCCATTGATCAAAAAAAAAGTTCGTAAATTCTAATTTAGCAAGATGATGGAGGGAAAAATCTATGGTGCAGTACTACTAAGGAAGTACTTCGTGCTTCAGCACCATAACAAAACCTGAGGACATTTATGAGATGCAGTGGTAGCCTAACTGGCAGAAGAAAATGGGCAAAGAAACTCCACTATTCCCATATCTGTGATAGTGTTATGTGTTCCCTTTTCCTGTGAGCACATCACTCTTACATGACTTATTTCTAGACTAGAAGGAGATGAGAGGAACACTAACTGCTGTAGCGTTAGTGCGTCTTTGGCTATAAGGAGTTCCCAATAACAGTTGCATCCAAAGCAAAGGATAACTGCAGGGTTTTCTTTTTGCGGTTGAAGATGGAAACCTGGTTTTGTTTATAAAAAGAAACTAGCAGAGGCAAGGGTAGGTAGAGGGAAAGA